TTTCATAGAGCAACCTCTCGAAATCTCTCTCGTGAGAGTTTTTGAGGGGTTGCTCTATGAAACCCTTCAACGTTCCGAAGTAGCGTATTGTATTGCGTGTGAATGCTGACTTCCTTCTTTTAGCCCAACCTTTATGAGAAGGCCACTTATGGTGATTGGTTTCACCGAACGCCGCACTTTTTCAGAAAGGAAACTTGTACTCGATGATGCATACTTCGTCGGAATAAGAGCGCATGTGTGAGACGGAAATTAGGGGAACGAACGCAGTCCCGCAGCACTGAACAAGGACTGCTGGACGTTCTTTGAGCGCTCCTCATCTGCCCGTTCCTCACGTCATCATGTTGGCGTCGGCGAGCCAATTCACGTCATCTGAGCCTACCCTCGATCGATGCCGTGTGGCCCGTCAACGTTTTTCCTTCAACGACGGCGATGTTTTCCGCCAGTGGTGACGTCGCATGCCAGGGAATATTTTGAAGATGCGTGATTAAACGGCATCTCGATGGAATAGTGTGACAAATAACGTGGCCCTCTGAAGCATCTTCGGGATGCGCCACACCAACAACGCCGTAATAAATTGTGACTCCAATGGAATGGTGCGTGGTGTGTGCAACAAATGGTAGAACGAAAGCCAATTCCAAACGCAACTGTGCTGACCACTCAGCCCTTCAGCTCGCATTCCAGAAGGTTGCAATGGCCTGGCGCGTAAATTACCAATGGCTATGGTTTCTGAGGCACTTATAGGAATTACGAATTCCGGAGCTATGCATCTAACTTCTTTCCCAAATTTAGAAACTGAGCAATCACCTACCCTTAGCATCCAACATCAGCAAAACGACATGGTAATTTTTCCCAGATCGCAGCACACGAGCAATGCCAACAACTGAACTTTCAGAATCACTACGCCTTCAATTACTTGTGGATCCTTTACTTAGGTCAAATGTGTGGCGTTCATCGGAATGATTGAGAAAAATTTCGAAGGCACATTCCAAGATTTGCTCAGTGGAAGGATTACCTACATGGATTACATAAATTAGCTCACAAGCGCATAAGTTGTGTCCACTTCACGACTCAACGATGTGGGAGGGGCATCAAAAATCTGTGCTTCCCCGGTGTTCGCGAGGAATCCGCCTCGTAATTGACCTTTCTGAAGGCGTCTGCGTCTCGCTCATCTCAGTGCTCTCTAGCGCTCTTGTCGTCTGATCTCTCGGCCCAATGAGCTTTTTCTTCTCTGAAACTGATACAATAGTCAAAATGAAATGCAGAGGAAGCTCTCCGCTTTTGATGCATCAGCTCTTTCCTTTCCTCCTTTCTCTTTCAGTTGCGAGTCACCCAGCCCTTACACTGGGTTTCACTTTCCAACCCCGTTTTCACACTCGGCTCCATATATGGTTCGAACTACTCTGTGTTTCATAAGAAAGGACTGTTCTCTGAAAAGGTTAATCTCCTCTTACTCTATTGCTAAGTTGAAGCCAATAACTTCGCAGGTCAGAGCGCAGACAGTCAGAGTGAGTGCAACATTCTGCGTCTCTCACTGCATGCCGTTGAGCTGTGATACTTGAAACATTAAAGGGCAGGGCAGTTGAACGCGTAATGGCAGCCGCAAACGCTAGCTCTACGTCACACTGAATTTAATTTACGAAGCAACAATTCGCAAAGTTCGCTTATCCCTTACCGTATAAGAAATTGGTCAATATTATTGGTTTCCCAAAACACTGTAAAATCAAGCAGGGGTAGATTGTTGTTTTTAAATCCCCCTTTCTCATTGGCACTCTTAGTTTCAGGAGGAAGCGTACGTTTGTACATCAGTTCCACTGGACCCTGAAACGGAGCACTATATCAGTAAGTTATGTATGAGTTATTTTTCAGTAGACTTTTCTTAATTCGTCAAATTTCAGCCGGCTACAAACCAAATGTCGCATCAAAGAACGCTCATCACATACTGCTATTCGGATGTGAAGAACCCGGAAGTGACGATGAAGTCTGGTACGTGATATCTTCGTCGTAATTGACTCAACGGCTCTTGAGGCTTCTGGCATGATTAAGTCAGGAACGACCCAGAATTCGCTTAATGACTATCCTCGCGCTCCATGCAAAGTGCGACTTAAAAAATGTGCATTTTTCGCTTCCCGAATCCCGATTCCCGGAAAATTGATAGGCTTGGAAGTTGTGCTTATTTCAAAGATTTTGAGACGGGGGCTTCTTTGATATTGAGCTTCAACCATTCCAAAGATATTTCCAAGGACTCTGCCACTTTTCCAAATGCATAGTCATTACCGGAAGAGCTTGATATTTCGTCTCCGATCTTTTAAACGGAATTCTGTTACCAGTCTCTGATTTTTGGGTATTCAAGCGGACCTCGAGGGATTTCCTGCGGATTCACATGATCACTATTTTTGATTTTCGACTTTCGACTTCCGAACGAGAAGCTTTTCAGGAATTGTTCAGTTTTCAATATTTTGGTAATACTGCAGCAGTGCCGTACCAGGAAATGACTGATTGGTGCCCAGGGGGAAAACAAGGCCTAGAAACAAACCGGTTAACAGTCTCGTAAAATTGTGTGGCTAGATGTGGCGCACGAGAGCGCGAAGCAGAGCGGCTTGGAAGATTCTTGACTAAATCACTTACCTGATGTGACCGGAACGGGAGAGCGATCACGAAAGTAAGAATTGAGTCAGACCAAGGGTAACCACCCGTTGGACAAAAAGTCCAATAGGGGGTGGTGATCGTATTATTTGGGGGTGGAAAGAGGGGGGTCGTATTTCGCGAGGTAGCGTTAATGTTACAGTAAGGGAAGGGATGATTTTTATGGAACGGAGAGCGGATTAGGTTGTAGGCTGGGATTTTGGGTTGAGTGTTGAGTGTGAAAATTTTGCCGTTTCACATTCGATATACAGGGTGGTCCAAAATTATGAGGACCGCATGCGCGCGCAGGTCATATCCACTTTTTTCCGTATCGCTCCATTTTCATCTCGTTTTCTGTGCACTATGTGAGAGGGTACATGTCAGTCTTCCTTTAATGAAACCAAGTTTCATGAAGTTCTCAAAACTAGTGAAATATCTACTTCACTTTGAGTCAGTCCTCAAATTGAACTCACTAGGGGCTCTGGCACGTTACATCTAGCAGCAGTCTAACCTATCAGAGAAGCCCTTATGAGCAACAGTTCAACTCTTCAATAAGTTTGGAACACCACAGATGGAAAATTCGGGGACTCGAAAGTTACAGTTACCACCAGGATAATTATCAGATGCAGAAACTAGGTCTCCCCTTGTCGACTTTCGTACACCCAAAATGAAAAAATTGATGTGAAAACCCAGCCAGACACTCTAAAGACTCCACATCTGTAGTGGATAGAAAGCCACACGAGTAGTCTACTTAGAACTTCTTACAGGACCGAGCACCCAAGAATAAAGCAAAAATCCTCCAAAAAGCGATTTTTCGAGTTCGTTGCTTTCGAAAATTGTTACAATGGAACCATCCACCTAATAGCTCTAGATTTCTGTATTTCACACCCTGGATGCAAGCGCAAATAAATGCAACACAAAAGTTTGATTCCCTGAAGAAGGCAGAGCAGAAGGCCTGGAAACATTTGGACACGCCTTAGTTGCGTGCCACCGCACGCGCCATCCCCTCATCCGAAGGCTCGTGTTAACGGGGGAAGTGGCAGATCTCAATTCTATTCTGGAATTACTTTGAGGTAAGAGTTACAAATACTTCCCAGAAGTTGGTTTGTTCCATCAAGCTACTATGCGTTTTTAACGACACAATGTCTGGTATTCCTCCGCTCGACAGCGATTTCGGAGGGAAAAGTGGGTGGGGTTGGGCTGTGTGTGGACTGGGTGGTGGAGGAGTGGAGGATGGCCGTGATGGCTTAACCCTGAGGGGGCGGGTCGTATTAAGGCCCTCTAGAAGGGGGAGGAAGTCGTAAAATTCTCGAAATTGGTCCAACGTGACGGTTGACCCTGGTTAGAACTGCATATCCAACCTCATCCTTACGACCAGAACCACTAATCTTCTAGCTCGTCAGCCAATTAAACCGTAACTAGACTATCCATAGAAGGCATAACACATATGTTGTTGAAGTTTCCTCTCACCTCTGTGTTTCCCTAGACAAGAATATTCTTGCTGAAAACTTTCTCATGTATTAGGGCGATTTGCCAATCTCAGAGTCTCAGCAACAGGATTGAAGGGAGATTCGGGCAGATTTCGGACAACAACTTCGAGGGTGCTACCTACACACAGGGTCAACCGTCATGTTGGACCAATTTTGAAAACGTTACGACCCCCTTCCCCCCTTCTGGAGAGCCTTCGCTCGGGAGGGGGGAGGGTAATATATCGAACGTGAAACGGCAAAATTTTCGCACTCAAAATCCCAGCCAACAACATAATCCGCTCTCCGTTCCATAAAAGTCATCCCTGTAACATTAACGCTACCTCGCGAAATACGACCCCTCCACCCCCTCGTTGGACTATGTCCAACGGACGATTGACCCTGCCTACACACCACCTTTATCTGAGCTTGAATTGATATTTGAATGTGTTTCCCTGAAATGAAATGGCCTAAAACCAGCCATAGTACATGAAGTTCTACCTTTCAGAAGTGTATGGTGCTTGTGGCTTGTGCAAATCAAAATGTCATAAGTACGTTAAGTCGTAGAAGGCAGAGTGACTTGCTTGGGCACGACTTGACCTGAGCTTTGACTTCGAACTGTGTACTCTCTAACTACGTCACTTTTTACCATCAACTTCCGCCCCATGCTCCAGAATTAACGCCCCCGGAGCTATCTCTAGGGAGTCAGTACTATGAATACTCGTTAACGATTTGCTTTTCTTCCAGCAGGCGGAATCATCGAAATAAGGCCCAGCAGATAGGCGTCACCGAAGCGGTACGTGGTGACATCTGCTGGCCTTCGCGAAAGCATACCGTTCCAGTCCGGGTTATGGGGAATTTTTGAAAAGGCGAGCATGGCGTGACTGGAAGGCTTTGAAAACATTGCGTAGATTGCTTTTAGAAAGCTCCCATGTATTACCCAAGTGCACATCCCATCCCAAGTGTCTGCGGGGATTCTTCAAAAGGCTGCTGTTTTGGGCGCGATGCAGCAGGCTTTCCCACCCAGCAAAAACTTGATGGGAAAGGGGATGAGCGGTGACTTCAACGCAACGACGGCCAGACTCGTGAGACAAGGGATAGTGGTCGGAAGGAGGGAGGGGGTAGAAAGCGCTCGATCCTCAACGACCCTTTTTTGTATAATTAAACAAGAGGCGAAGGAGGGGAGGAGAATTGCAGGCTTTCAGCGCCGAGAAAATTTCCTGGCGACGTCTCAGTATTATTGAAGAAGCTATTTGCCTGAAGGACTTTCTGAATGACGTCTTCAAATTGTTTAAAATGCCTCTGGCGATTCGCCATCATTGCAGGGATTGCGGAGAGATGACCACAGAGATGGACGGAATGAGACAAGCACCAACCTGCAAATCGAAACCCGCTATTCTCTACGCATGGGCTAAAGATGCACCTGAATTGAAACTACCCAAAGGTATCCTTCTGGGCTTTTTTGCCCATTTCGATTTTGGTAGAATTACCACGAACGCTGTTTATTTGAAGGTGTCGCGTTCCGCGTTGGTGGCGATTCTGGCATCAACCACCTCGTCCTACAGGTACATATTTCGTTTTTTCCTCTCACCCAACCACTACTCCCTTACATTAGCAGCTACATCGGGCTTCTACCCCTACCTCTCCTCATTCTCGAGTTTCCAATTTTTCCCTGCACCTTCACCGAGTAGGCGGGTGAGAGCCATAATTGATGAAAATATGAAAACCAAAGGCACACTCCGGATTAGGCACGCTCACCTGTTCCATCCCCGAGGTAGATAGGCGGACAAGCGTTGATGTCGCGCCCCTTTTGCGGCTTGAAAGTGCGCGACAAAGGCGCAAGAAGCTCGTCCGACCCGCAATCCACACCTTCGTCCGCAAGCCCCGCCTTCCGCTGTCGGTGCCACGTGACGCTGCGAGAAAAGCGCGCCGCAGTTGCGGCAACGTTAGCATTGCGTCTCAATGCCATTGGCATGGAGCAACTGGAGCTAGTCGTTCACGGAAACTCGTCCAATACGCCCCTCCTCCATGAAGCTGGAATGCGGCCGAAAGAGGGGGGATTCGTCCGGGGACGCTAACGAGCTTTTCTTTGCCTTCTTTTTCTTTTTCAAACCAGTCCCCACCTCCACCTTCATTATTGAGCGCTCCTACACACCTACTATATTATCCCAAAGCTTGCCTTCAATACAAGGGTAAACCAGAACTAACTCGGGGTGTAAGATATTGCTCCAGGTTCAAAACCACTTCTCAATACCCTTTTCAAAATTAATAATGGCCCCGCTCAGGAGTACAAAAAAGTTTCAGCTTCCTCAGTGGTTACATGAATCAACTCATGGAGATGTTTTTTTAGGTTCACTACATGCACAGCCGTGACGAGCCGGATCACAGCGGTGTCACATTGTACCACACCGAAGAACCGCAACCGAAAACCGCCGCCACTATGCTGCTTGTCACTGGAGGACTACTGCCGCCAAAGACTACTGGTAGGTCTACTTTACGAGGTTTTTATGAGGCAGGAAGTAGCTTAGTGCGACAAAAACCGCACCAGCTTTTTCGGGAATCTCTCTAACCCTCTCAGAGCGTTTCGATTCTTACAGGAACGTGATTTTTTATAAATTTATCTATTATCGTGTATAGCACATAAACCGCGTATCGGCTGGCCACCGGTACCTTTTGTGTGAATAAAATAGATGTTTGCGTGCTCCTGAACCTGAATGGAACTTGCATCCATGGCGCACTCCAAATGTACGGCTCAGGGCCAAACCAATTCCCCCGTACTCCTCTTCTTTGGAGGGGAAGAGGGAGAGAAAGAATGACCGAGTTCTGCATCAGGATCCCTTTTTTCTGGCTTCAAAGATAATTTTCCCTACTTTTTACATGCCAAATTCCACAGCTCCTTGTTATATTATTCTTTTCTGTCTCACCGCATTAAAAACCCCGACACAATTCGCTAAACCCGAAACAAGCACATTCCCAGTGCGACTCTCGACTCAGCTTCGAATGCCCTTATCAGAGTCAATCAAGGCCTAATGAATGTCGCACTCTAGCTTTGTGAACATCAAAGATTTCGAAATTGTTTCTATTTGCTATCTATTTCTTGCCAAGAGGTGGATTAGATATCAGCTCACACTCATCGCGGCTCAGTCCTACACCTCTTCAATAGCTCATTAGGCTGATGTAGTCTTTTCTGTGGCGACATCTACATATTTGCATAAGAACTGCGTTAGCAACGAGATCCCACAAAACGAAAGCTTTCTGAGAAGGAAAAGGGCAAAACCCTCTGACGTTCGAGCAGGACTTCAGAGCGAAGCCTTTGAGGATTCCTTGGAAAGACTACAAATTTCAAAACTGAATTCCGATAACAGTGTGCAAAAACGTAAGTCGTACTTAACAAAATTCTATTCACTTCCACGAAGGCGAAAATTAGATTTCTCTGAAGGGATTTCTCTTTCTGTGAATGTCTTTGGCTCTATACATATGCTAAAGCTGTTTTGAAATATAATATTATCCGAAACCGGTCTTGTCGATCTTCTTCGAGTACGCCGTGCACTCAAAAGCATTAAAATAATTGAAGATGTTCAATTGGTCAGCAATGTGACATGAAGAGTCAGCCAATATTCCGTCAGTGTTTTTATCTCCGCAGGCAGAAATTATTCTAATCAGCCGACCGTAGTGTGGAACATCTCGCTGTGTTCGGAACCTTCAAATTTCAAAGGAGGATTCCGCGATGAAGTTGGATGGTCGGAGAAGGGGAACTATATACCTAGTGGAAAGGGCAGGCGATCCTTCCAGGGTGCGGGAGGATGCACTTTCGCAATTATGCCTTTTGGAAACCTAGCATGGCCGTAGCCGCGCCGCTCGCATCGCTGCGCTCTCACCGATTGGCGACCCATCGCCGTCTGACTCCGCTCGCTCTAGAACTAGAAGCCTAGACGTTGATGAGGTTAGTACCAATGAGGGTCGGCTAACGCCCAGGTCAATAGGCGAAGGGGTCTCATTTCTCAAAGGCAAACTCCGGGATTAAACTGGTGCTAAGAGCGCTTCGTAGTGATAGCTTAGCTGCGGAACGACCTGAAAGTGGAGAGGAAAGCAAGAGAACTCTTTGGGAACGCTGAAATTAAGGCCTTAATAAGGTCGGATGTGGTACGATGGCAGACAGGGTATCAAAGAGACAAAATGGAGCGAGTAGAGAGACGGTCCTATTGGCCGGCTGACAAATTTCTAACTCAACCGACGTACTAACTCGACTTAAGATTAATTTTCGGATTATTAGCTTCATTTGTACAGAAAAAAATGTTAGTGAATGGGTACTATCGAATACCACTTGCAGCTTGACCGGCAAAGTGCCCATATTATCGATGAAAGTGAATAGTTTCCCCGAAGAAATTACGTCGGCTTTTCAAAAATAATTCAGGATGAATTTTTGATGGGACAGACCCATTACGCCGTCGTTCTCATTTCGCGAATACCTTTACCGAATCTAATCAGACAGCCAGCAATAAAATGCTCTCTGCGGTATGGGGAGGTGCGGCTGCATTTATGATTTGTAAGGGAGGAAAAAGTGAGAAGAGTGGTAGAGGAGTAAACGAAAAAAGAAAAAAAGTAAGAGAAAAGGACAAAAAAATACTCAGATGGACCGCATAAGGACAGAAACTTTGCTCTAGGAAGCTATGGTATAAAGAAACGACGATCGGAGCTCGCTGGGCAGTCTGCGCCTCAGCAAGCTTGGAAGCCATTGCCTTTATTATGAAGAACGGGGGCGGTGTCGTACAGTTGGGATGTTCACTTTCCTTTGCGTAGGTCGGAGGTGTTCATCCTATGGAACCTTGACCAAACTTCTCTGCCTCAAAGAATTGGGTTGGTTGATTGGCCAGACATATTGAGACGCATTTCGAAGCATTCAACTTCGTATTATCTTCTTGGACGCGTCATGTGCGTCTTTTGCTTTTCGGGTCCGAGCCATGTCTGGTGTGGAATGAGGGCTACATGGGCCGATATGAAGGTTTTCCTGTTCCCAGAAGAGATTTTTACCACTTATCTGACCGGTGGAAAGAAATACCTTAGTTAGTTTGCGAGGGTTCGAGCCAGGGTTTTGCACTTGGATTGGATGCGTTAGGCCGATGTCAGACTTTGCGAATCGCGCGATTCGCTAGCGTCTGCGGTCGCGTCGCGGCCAGTGAATCACTCAATTGGCTGGTACCGCAACGCGACCGCGGACGCTAGCGAATCGCGCGATTCGCAAAGTCTGACATCGGCCTTAAGGTGAGCCATTGCATTACATCACCTCCAGGCCACTATAATGAGCCGGCCTCCTTAGAAAGGATAAAAGCTATGAGTCAGTTATCCCATCCTATGCCCTCCCCTTATTTTTACCTCATGTTTTTATTTGAGAAGTCATTGTCCGAGCCTGTGGGACAAATCGTACTAAGATGCCACTATGACTCTAAATACAGGTCGAATGTGACCCAAAGGGACCCAAATGTCGGCGGCTGCATTTTTTCTACTCTGCTAAACGGCTATTTCCTCTAAGGACCATACCAGGAGGTTCCAGAACAGGGTTATCCGAAGGGTTGAAAATGGTCAGGAGCTCTCCTACTCAATATCTGCACGATCTATAGCTATTTAGAGAAAAGGGAGCATGGGCGCCGTGTTTTCTCTTTCGCTGGGAGGGATCCACTCCGCCATAGTAGTTTTCCCTCGTCACCTCCGAGTTTCAAGAGGAAAAGTGATACAAGCTCACGAACTGGGCAACTGTTCTACGTTTTTTAAATTCATCGAAGACTCAGACTCCATTTTTGAGGGAGTAGTGACAGTTTCCTATGCAGGGTCAATCCTATGTTGCGACAAGTACCAACGGGGGGGGGGTCGTATTTTGTTGAGTTTTAAGTGGTGGGGGGTTGTATTCGATGTAATCTTAGAAAATTTGCCATTTCTTCTGTACGTATATATCCCGCGCTCGACATTAAATACTATAGAGACAGTGAGGATGGTGAAGGGGGGAGGTCGTGAAATTCCTGACTGGAAGTGGGCGACAAGTCGCAACGGTAGGGGCGACCCTGTTCCGAAGTAACATCTCTCATTTAGCCGTGTCCAGCTCAGTTGCATGAAATTGGCCGCCCTTCACCCCATCCAATATTCCATTCTCTTCCAGTAATATTGCGCTACTTTACTTAAATATTGATGAGTACTTCTCGCAGAAGAGTGCACTTCTTTTGAGCCAATAACGAGAGCTAATGAGTTTTCAAAATTAAAGTTCCCATTTCAGAATCGTTTGAGACTGCCTGCGTGATCGAGGAAGATGTGGAAATCCATCCGTTCGCTTTCCGCACTCATGCTCATCGCCACGGCGTTGAGGTCTCCGGATGGGTGGTGAATGAGGTCAGTTCAATGAAACGATCGTTCTATTGATCGTATCAGCGCTAAACGCTTGAGATGGGCCACGTAAAACATTTCACTTGGAATTGAAAACGATTTCAGTGACTTATAAAATGACTTGTGGGAACACTAGAACATTAGTGCTTTTGTTTTGTCAGACGAGCCTGTGCAGAGAAACCGGACGCAGGTTTAGTTAGGGAGGGGAATGTGCCGAAGGGGATTCAATCCCAAAACAAGTAGCACACAGCAGCGGCGCCGCTATCCACTGTTCCTTTTGGTGACCACACCCGTCGAGGGATTGGTCAGCAACTTCTAAAGTTGCTGGCTACTTCACTTTCACGTCCTTTCGGTAACGTAGAAAGGAGTAACTCAAGGAAAAACAGCGGATTTGACCTTCTGAAGACTCAACCCCGTGTGATGATGCGATCATTCTTGACTCCGCTTGTGAACACCGTCCGATATAAAGGGTAAGGTGCAAGGGTACACTTTTAGTGAATCCATGAGGCTTAGTCCCAAATGTTTGGCCGAGAGTATGCTTATTATCAGTGGCTATTAAGGAGGGTCAACCAACCGCCGCACAACTCGCAACAGGGGTGCCGCATTTAGGTCTCTTGGAGGAGGCGGGTCACATTTTGCTTCGAGTGCGTTGGTGGTGGTGGCGAGGCGGGGAGGACCGTATGGAGGTACACGAGGCTGACAGTGGTTGAGCAGGCCCATCGAGGCCCCATAAAACGGAGGAGGTCGTAAAATATGTAGAATTCAAAACGGACGGTTGACCCCGCCTGGAAGACTGATTCTCACCAAACCCCATAAACGGATTGATTTCGAAGTCATTTCAGAACGAGAAAGGTGATGACCAATGGTTCCTGATCGGCAGACGTGATCCTCAACTTCCACAGATGTTCGCTCCGGTGAAGAACAATTCGCTAGTCATTCGCCAGGGTGATATGGTTGCTGCCAGGTACGTGTCGTCACGATACGCAGTCAAAGGAATCCGCTATTCATTAATAATCGCTTACAGATGCATTCTGAAAAACGACGAGGATCGCGTGATCAAAATGGGACCAACGGGTGAAGACGAAATGTGCAATTTCTACATGATGTATTGGACCGACGGGGACAGGGTAATCAATATATTGATTAACAAAATACCTGCCGCTCACGACGCGAATTGGCCGCTCGCGAAAAATCGGCCGCGGCGGAGACTGCCGCGCATTTCAGCGCGACGAACAGCACGCGGCGTGCGGATAATTAGCGCGACGCGCTGAGGTGACGTGCACTACACGCACCCAGATCTCTGCTGCTCAAAATCATTTTAATTATATCGAATGTTGAAAGCAAACAACCACTTATCCTACAGCTCCTAATCCTACGCGACTTCCCGACTTGAGCTGCAATTAGTAATTTCAAGCTATCTTCGGTGGCTTAGAGGAAAGCTGTAATCAGCTGTAAGCTCCAGTGACAGTTGAAAACATGCTAGAATCACTCCATCATAAGACAACAGAAATCGTTTGAGGGTTAATATCGGATGTCTGCTATTATTTTTCTCTAAATTCCTGCTGTTTCGAAAATATCAGAATTCAATCTTGGGAATGGACCCGATCTTTCAAACGAGTAGAAGTTTTCATGAAGAATGATGAAAACTGAGAGAACTTGTGGGTATCCGGTCCTGTCGCGATAGGAGGCCCGTCGTGCGGCGAGTAGGCAGAGCCGGCGGACAAGTCGTGTGATGTGTGATGTAGGACGTACTATGGTACATTCTGTTTAACCTTGACGCGAAATTACAACAGCACGCATTGCGACGTCGTCGCCGTCCGCTGATTTACCCTTCTTGCCACCCGACGAGCCTCCTATCAGATACCCGCGCGTGATGCAGCCTATCAAGTGTGCATATACTGAGAACTCTGGGATTTGTTAGAACCTGATGTCCGCATATGGTGAAGCTTAGCAAACAAAGGCGGCCCAGTTCCTTAACACGTTGACGACAACGCGCGTTTTGGCTTCTTTTGGCCGCGTGGGACCGGCGCGATTTTGCGAGCGCCGCCGCCTCAGGTCCTTCAGGCGAATTTTGCGTGGTAAATGCATAA